ATTATTTGTAATTTCGATTTCAATCGACGCAACATTCTTCTGCATTGCGGACATTTCAATGGATTATTGAAAAAATAAATTCAGACTGTTACACAATACAAAAGAATTTGTGTCAGCGAAAAAAATTTGGAATCTCAATCTAAAAATCAATGAAAAAAATGCAAATTATATATCTTTTTTTTTTTTAATGTACATTATATATTTAGAATTCATTCTTTTTATTTTATTATTTTTATTTTATTATTTTTATTTTATTTTATTTCTTGAAAATATTATCTGTTATGATAATTTTTAGGTTATACATTTTTCATAAGTAAGAAATAAAATATTACACAAAATAAATACATTGAAATGATAGTATGTATTTTAGTAATACTCGTCTCGTCATAAAAAATGAAAGGAAACAACAATGCTTTGTTGATAATGCATCTGTTCATTGTACTATGGCCATGAATTTTTGATCAAAAATAAATAGTAATGCTTGGTCATTCATTTCACTGCATTTACCTGATATGGCTCTTTGTGGTTACTTTTTATTTCCAAAATAAAAAGCACTAGTGAAAAAAACTCGCGAGATATTTTAATCATAGAACAATGTAATAGAGATATTCAATAATTTTAATTTAATTTTCAATGATCCAATAATCTATCTTTGCGATGATTAACTATATTTAACGATGTATCGTTAAATATATTTAACGATATCGAAGAAAAATATTTTGAATAAAAAATTGAATAAAAAATAATTTTTATGAATATCATATTTTCGAATTTATATATTGTTATGTTATATATTGTTACATATTGTTACTCTCATTATTTTTCAGAGATTGCATAGATCGAAAATATCAAGTCGATATAATAGAATCGAAAGATTAATAATCGTTAAGAGAATCGATTATTATTAAATTGAAAGAAACAGACTGTATACATACATACATGTTTCACCGGGTAAACAATGTGTATTCTGAAAAGTTGCTAGGTTGCAGAATACTTCAGACTGCATTCGGTTTCCGGTGTCCAGGAGAAGTGCAGGGGTGAGAGTATGCTAGCGATCATGTCGTCTGCGGTGTGGTGAATAGGCTACAGGCGAAATGCCAACTTCGAACTTTATTTACTCGTCCCACCGCGCAACTTGCATCGTGCTCGATAGAGGGAAGTACAATCTACGAGTGGATACTAGTCTTTCTCTTCCGATGCAACATGTTGCGTATGTAAAGTGCGTTTAAACTAAATGGGCGAATGCTCGTTCTTTCTTTTTTCAATAAATTAATCCAATATTGTTTTAATGCAACATTTCATTTATAATTTTTTTTTAATTAATATAATCATGAAATATCAAATTTTTTAATAGTGCAATTATAAAGTGAAACTCCAAGAGTGTTTAATATTTTTTCTATAAAGAATTATTAAAAGATTTTTTTGACAACATTTATGTTTATGTCTATATATTTTGGTAAGTTATAAATAATCATATGTACAAATTATAATATTTATCATAATATTATATACTATTTGACTTTTAATGAGTTAAATGCAAATAAATTTTTTTTTAATTAAATATATTCTCGTTTATTTATTTTAAATATTATTATAAATGCATCTTAAAAGATTAATTTTAAGCCGATAATAATTCGCGTTTCTTTAATAAATAATAAATATTAATTAATTTTATGATGTCTAATATTTAATCATGTATCTACAAGATCATATCTGTAAGATTTTGGATTATATCTAAGTAAATGGATTTTATTATAGAGAAAATAATAAAAAAATATATATTTCAAATTTATTAGATAGAATAGCACAAATCTATTTTTATCTAATTCAATGTATATCAATTTATATAACATAAATCTACTACTTTTTTTTTTTAAATTGCTATATAGGTTAGGCTAGATAAAAAAACGATCCTAATACCAAATGAAACATAATAAATATTAGTTAAATTATAAAATTTCTCTTTAAGAATAATTTTTCGCAAAATATTTTTTATATTTTCATAATCTATTATATTATAATATTAT